GTCTGATCACTTCCAGGATCTTCTCTCCTCATGAGCTTCATGATTCAGCAGCTGGAGGACAGAGGCGCCGAGTTGGTTTTGTTTTCCTGCTTTTAAACGAGATCTAAAACTAATCATGAGGCTGTTTCTCAAACTAAAAACACTGATTCAGCACGACGGTGATTACTCAGCAGAAAAACGCAGCAGGAGCAGACGAGTCCTCCTGCACTGACCAAGTCCTTAAAGCTGACTTTAAATATATTAAAGCTGCTGAAGGACAGAATGATGAAAACATAAAACGCAAAATGATCAGAAATGGAAACAAAACGATGCAAAACAACAACACAAGAAGAAGCAAACTGATGTGAAATAATCACAAATGAACATCTAAGGACTGAGATAAAGCAGAAATATGAATAAAATGTGTTGCTTTGTGTCACCTGCACAACTCGAACACAGACGATGAAATACCTGCAAAACACACAAATGCGTCGATGTTCTGAGCAGGTAGAAGCTACTTAAGGAGAAAAAACCAACAATCATGTCCTCATTCTGAGAGCAGCTTCACTTCAGGTGCACTTTATTCTCATTTACAGAGCAAACAGTTTGTTGAGCTGATGTTTGCTCTGCCATCGACTCGCTGCACGTAGACGCTGGTGCAGGAAACATCAGACGTTACACAGAACCAAAGCGTAGAGCGTTTCCTCTTCTATTCAGTAAAAGTGTTAAAACAAGTCACTGGAGAAGCATCCGAGAAAAGCTTCAGATGCTGCAGATAAAAAAGAAGCTTGAGAGGAAAGACGACAGGACGACATTGAAGAAAGCTAACAGAACATCACAACATGCTGAGGTCTGAGGTTACAGTGATGCTGAAGGTCTGCTGAACATCTCAGTGATTCATGTCCAGTCATCACCTTCAGTAGAGCTTCTCTGACGGATCTGTTCCTGATACAGAGCCGATAAAAACTATTCACCCCCCGAGGAAGGATTTCCCTTTGATTACATTTTAAACATGGACTCATGGTCGATTTAATTTGGCTTTTTTTTTGCTGCATTCATTCACCCTCTACCTTCACAAGGCTTCCAGGCTGCTGCTGAGAAGATCCCCACATCATGATGCTGCCACCACCGTGCTTCATCATGACGCTGCCACCGCCGTGCTTCATCATGATGCTGCCACCACCGTGCTTCATCATGACGCTGCCACCACCGTGCTTCATCATGATGCTGCCACCACCGTGCTTCATCATGATGCTGCCACCACCGTGCTTCATCATGACGCTGCCACCACCGTGCTTCATCATGATGCTGCCACCACCGTGCTTCACAGTGGGGACGGTGTGTTTGTGATGACGTGCAGTAACATAACATCTAGTCTGATGGCCATAAAGCTCCATTTTGGTCTCCTCAGACCAGAGAACCTTCTTCCAGGTGACTTGAGAGTCTCCACATGTCTTCTTGATGGCCTCCCTCTCTAGTCTCTGTCTTATACAGTCACTCAGGTTTTGAGGACAACCTGCTCCATCCAGGACACTAATTGAAAAGCAGAAGTCAGGAGACGGACACAAGAAACCTCTACGCTACCGAGTATCTCCTGGAGTCCAGTAAAGTCCATCATTAATGGAAGGAACATGGAACATGAGTAGATCTGACTAGAGCAGAACGTCCTCAAAGACTGAGTGACCGACCAAGAAGGAGACTAGTGAAGGAGGCCACCAAGACTCCTGTGACTCTGAAAACTTCCAAGGGGGGTGAACACTTTTTGTCGTCCTGTATCTGAGTCTCTGCCGGGTGTCGGGTTCATCTCTGCTGTCCCGTCTCGGTGAAGTCCAGGTTGATCCCGGACAGCAGCTCTCCTCCACAGCTTCTGTTCAGCAGCTCCTTCAGGGCTTCGTTCACGTCGTTGTTGAAGACGGTGGAGAAGCTGCAGTTGGGGTAACCTCCGCCACCTCCGTCCAGGGGAAAGGACCCCATCACCTCCTGCACCCACCTCAGCTCGTTGCTGAGCTCCACTCGCAGGGCGTCGAAGTGGTTCTGCCTCTCCTGGTAGCGGTCGCTGACGGCGCTGAGGCTGCAGCCGAAGGCCTGCATGTCGTCCTGCAGGCTCCTCTTCAGCGCCTCCACCTTACGGAACTCGTAGCGGATCTGGGAGAGCTCGTGGCGGACGCCCTCGCTCTCCTCCCGGTACCAGGCCTCCTTGTCGTTGTAAATGGACACCATGGCGTCGATGTCCTCCTGCAGGGAGTCGTGGGCCGTGGCCAGGCTGACGAAGGAGCTCTCCATCTGGTCGATGTCCTCCACCACCTGAGCGAAGCGCTCGAAGTTCACGTAGGTGTTGTTGGGCGGCATGCTGGAGTGGGACTTGATGGTGTACTCCCGGAGACGCTTCGTCTTCAGCTGGCGACGCTCGCGCTTCTTCGGCTCGAGGGATTTATTTTCCTCTTTGTGCTCGTTGGACTGAAAGAATTAAAGAAGGCAGAGTCAGAAACTGTCCTGCAAGAAGATGTAGATCCTGATGCAGAGAGCTGTGACTGATTGGTCTGAGCACTTAGTTCCTATTATACTCACAACACAGCAGGACGGGGATCAACATCACACCATGAAATGTCTTATCTGGTAGCATGAAACTGTTAAATCATTTTATTTAGCAGCACAGAACTATTAAATCTTCTTATTTTTAGACACAAAACTGTTAAATCATCCTTTTTTTGCAGCTTAAAACTATTAAATCATCTTATTTTGTTGTATGAAGTCGTCTTATTGTGCAGCCTAGAACACTTTGCAGCACGAACCTGTTAAATCCTGTTATTTTGTCTTGCTTAGAATATGAAACTCTTAAATGATCTTATTGTGCTGCATGAAACAGAAGAAAACATTTAGTTTGTACAGTTTTTGGGCTTTTATTTTGGTGATTTGTTTTAAAGAAAACGTGTTTTTCAAACCCACTCTGCAGAAAGTTTAGTTTTAAACACGTCTGCACAGATTTATGTAAAAACTGAAGCATCAGACTGTGAATGTTGTCGCTCATTTGTCGTTATTTCGTCTCTCTGTGAAGTTCTGGTTCTGTACTGACATGACCTGTTACACCATAAATATAAAACAAACTTCACCTTGATCCACAGGTGGCTCAGAGCTCACTGTGCCAAGAGTGCTAACCATGATAGCTATGCTAACTGTGCCAAGAGTGCTAACTATGCTAATTGTGCCATCAGTGCTAACCATGGTAACAGTGCTAACTATGCTAACCATACTAACTATGCTAACTGTGCTAACCTTGCTAACCTTGCTAACAGTGCCAACCTTGCTAGCCATGCTAACTGTGCTAACCTTGCTAACCATGCTAACTGTGCTAACCTTGCTAACCATGCTAACTGTGCTAACCTTGCTAGCCATGCTAACTACAGATTTATGTAAAAACTGAAGCATCCGACTGTGACTATTGTTCATTTGTCTGTAAAGTTCTGGTTCTGTACCAACTGACTGGACTCAGTTACACCATGCATACAAAACAAAGCTCACCTTGATCCACGGGTGGTTCAGAGCGTCCTGGATGGTTAATCTCTTCCTGGGAGACAAAACAGAAGGCCTGGTATGAATGTGATGAGTGCCACAGAGACAACAACAGCCTGACTGACTGAACAGCTCCTTTACTTCTTGTCCTTCTCCAGCAGCTGGCTGATGAACTTCTTGGCCAGGTCGCTGGTGTGGCAGAAGAACTCCTCGTCGAACTCGTAGTTTATGGCCGAGATGTTTCCCAGAGTGTCCTGTTTGGTTTCTCCCAGGAAAGGAGAAGCTCCGCTGAGCCTGGAACAGACCGGAGGCGGTTAACATGTGACCAGATGTTATATTATTTACAGCGTGGTGCTGATGCGGTTTGACTTGCAGGATGTAGGTGATGACCCCGATGCTCCACATGTCGGCCTCCAGACCCAGCGGCTCGTAGTTCACGATCTCTGGAGCTGAAAACACAGAATAACGAGTTCTGCTTTATTCCGTCCTAAAGTCCCTCTTAACCTTAAATATCAGGACAGACTGAAGGATCTCCTCTGAACTTCACGTTTGTCGGCACATTTTAAACGATTGTTGGTGAATTTGTTCGACTTGAAGCTCCTCAATCCTCCAACTTCTGATTTCTCCACAAGACAACTGGAACTTTTCCTTTTAAAGTTTGTTGGTTTTAAAGTTAGTTTGTATTTTTTTTAATTAGTTTAGATTATTTTATTCTTCACTTTAATTTATGACCTTATTAGTAATTTTTCATGTTTATTTTATTTTTTAGTTCTATTAATGTAACATCCAATTCAGCATTTTATTCATGATTTCTTTAATAATTACTAATTATTTATAGCATTTTTAAAAATAGATTTTTATTCATGATTTCTTTTATTATTTATAAATTATTCATAGTTTTTAAAAATAACTTTATTTATGATTTTTTTATTAATTATTCATAGTTTTTTAAAATATATTTTTTCTATGATTTCTTTATTATTTTTGAATTTGTTTTTTATTTTATTTGAGGATTCCTTAATTATTTTTACTTTTTAATTTAGAAGGTGTATCTTTATTTATTGTCTTTATTTACTCATCTTGAATTTTGTTTTACTTTTAAAAACAGTATTTCTATTATTTAATTATTAGTTTGACATTTTTTTCATCTTGATCTCTGTATTCTTTATTAATTTTAATATCATCAAAAGTTCCTGTTTTCTTTTTCATTGTATGTTTGTTGGTTGTCTGTCTTATTCGTTGTCTATTTATGGAGTGTTATTTCATTTACCATCTTCTTTTTCCCCTTTTCTTACTTTTTTATTTCTTTAATTTGGATGTTTTAAGTATTTAATGTTATTTTATGCTAAAAGATCTTCAGAGGTTCATCTTTGTTTTCTTCCCTTTTTTTTTATATTTTTTATTTCATCTATTTATTGTAATTTATTATATTTTATTTAACAACAAGTTTATGTGTTTATTCTTCTTTCCTCTTATTTTTTATTTAGAGTGTGATTTTATTTTATTTATCATGATCTTTTCCTTTTGCGTTTTTTATTCTTAATTTTATTTGTTTTATTTTAAATGATCTTTTCGTCTCTTTTTGCTTTTTTCTCATTTCTTACTTTCTTATTTGATCAGTTGTATTTTATTTAAAATTATGTTTTTTTCCTTTTTCTTTATTTTATCAGCGTGAAAGATAAAACAAGACGGACACATGTTAAATTTAACAGGACGAACCCAGAGAACAGTCAGACGGACTTCTGTCGGACTTTTCCTTATTTCTGGGCGATAACATTAAACATGACGACGTTCGATCTGGACCATTTAAAGTCCGTCAGTCTGAACTCTGCTGCACTAACAGCAAACACATCAAACCTTCTCACCTACAAACTCTGGAGTCCCGAAGATGTTTTTGAATTCGACTCCGGCTTCGATTTTATGAGCGAGACCGAAGTCGATGAGTTTGATTCTGGGCAGCGGAACGTTCTTGTCCAGCAGCATGATGTTCTCCGGCTGCACACGAGAGAACGACAAAACCACAAGAACACATTTTATTTATTATGGAACAGCTGACGGCTCCAACAAACCACAAGTGTTTTGTTATTGTTGCTGTTGTTGCTAATTTTGAATGATTTTGAATTTGAATGCTTGTTGTCAGCCGTGTTTGTCTGCAGTGAGGCTGAACCATGAACCAGCTGTTGCCTCTACACGTCACGGCTGCAACTCAAACATGCAGAACGTCTTCTTGGACAAACCTTGAGATCGAAGTGGGCGATCTTCCTGGAGTGGAGGTAGTTGACTCCCTCCAGGATCTGCTTGATGAACTGAGTGGCCTCCTCCTCGCTCAGAGACTCCTTCTGGGCCAAGAAGTCGAACAGCTCGCCGCCGGAGACCCTGGAACCAAACATTTCACATTTCACATGTCGCCCCGTCGCTGACAGCCGCAACAGATAACTTCTCACACGGTTCCGTTTAATAAAATCATCCAACATCTCAGCAGAACAGAGAAAACAGGTTGATCCTCCCATTAGTCCTGTTCAGGCCTCAGAGGAACCGACCAGCACCTGGACTACATTCAGCTGCTGAGAGCTTCTACTGAAGGACCAGTTCTGATACCTGGAATAGAGTTTGTACTTTTACTCAGAGCACTTCTTCCACCACTGATGGAGACACAACATGACAAAGAGACATCAAACAACCGCCAAGTGTCGTAAAAAACGACACAAAACGACCACAAAGACACAAACTGAGCAACACAAAGCCTGGAGTCTGCCAGGCTCACACTGATCTGAACTACTGGACATAACAGTGATGGGCTCACAGCTCCAGGATCAGAACCACGTCGGTCCGGTTCTCGTAGACGTCGTGCAGCGTCACGATGTTGGGGTGCTGGATCTGCTGCAGGATGTCCACCTCCCGCTCGATCTCCTCCCGCCGAACGCCTCGAGAGCTGGCGATGCTCTGACGCTTCTTTATGAACTTGGCGGCGAACTCCAGACCGGAGACCTTCTCTCTGCACTGCTTCACGATGGCAAACTGTCCACTGGAACAGAACCACAGGAGGACCTGGGTCAGCAGGTCAGGACCAAAACACTGAATCCTTCTGGACCACATGGAGCCCAGTCTGGTCCGTAGATCCAGTACGGACTCAACAGCTGAACACATACACTTACACATGCACATACATGCAGTAATGACGACGTACAGTCGTGACTCGATGACGCTAAATGTAAAACCTTCTTCTATGTCGGATATCAAGGCTGTGGGATTGTCCAGACGGAGGTCCAGATACGAGGAGGGCTTGATGCTGGAAGGCTCATTAGTTGTTCATTATTGTTCATAGTTGTTATAATAACTAGTGTGTTGTTAGAACACGACGCATCGCTGGACTTCAGCCTAACTGACTGGTGAGCTGGTGCACGTTCGGCCACTTCCACCCCGGGGCAGCGCTCTGACGGGGTGGAAGTGTCCAGAACACACAGGCAGTACTTGGCTGCTGATGCTAGTTTAGTTAGCGCTCACACTTCTGTTTCCTCCATCGGTGGCGGCGGGGGAGTGGCAGATACGCTCCACCGTTACCATCCATGTTTACTTCCATAAACACTGAGCACGCTCGCTGCGTGTGACGTCGTCGTGTCCTCTTGTGCGCATGCGGGACACTTTTGGCTCGTATGAAGTTCACACAGCAGATCACATACAAGTCGCATTGAACTGGAAACGTGAAGGAAGTCACAAAGAAATCCTCATTGAGCATCAAGTCCTGCAGTGTGAACGTAGCCAATCTGTGGGATTGTTCAGTCAGATAATACGCCGTCATCCTGATTGGTGACATTAAATGTCATGTTGGAGTCACAATCCAAGGCTGTCGCTATGTTAAGGCTGTTTTTATGGGTTCTGTTCGTTTTTCCTACAAACCTGTCAGATAGCAGGTTTAGGATTGTTAAGGGTTGATTATCGGGTCGTGACTGTCCTTAGATTCCTACAGAGTCAGACTGTGTGATGGAGAAACTGAGGAAACATTAAAGTTTCTGAAAAGCTGCATATCTTCACTCGTTGTCCACTTTAATGGAAACTCCATGTTTCTGTCTGTTTTATTGTCGGATGTGTTCAGTCGGACTTCCGGCTGCTTTGTGATCATAGTTCATGTTTTCCCACCACAGGCCGAATCTATTCATATCACACATCAACACAACAACACATCACAACCTAAGAAGAGGAGTTCAGACTGTGATTCCCTGATTGCTGTGCAGCTGCATGTGTGAAGGGTTTGTAAGCCAACACCGTACTTCCTGGTCCGCAGCCACACACAGCCGACAGAACCGCCGCTAAAGATAGAAGACGCCTTTAAAAAGCAGCCGTCTCGTCTGACAGCACGCTGCAGCAACACGACTCGCTTGTTTCCATCTTCTCCTGCTGCTGGGTTCATGCACACATCAGTTAATGATTCGGTGTCATTTTCATACAGTTTGCAGAACAACGGTTAGCGAGCGGGTCGGTGGAGGACCAGCAGGGCTTCAGAACAACGACACTGTGAAGGTTCCAGTTTAATAAATGAAGGTCGGCTCATCCTGAGACTCTCTGTTCAGTTAGAACACGTGTTCATCAGACAGCTCTTCCTGATTACATCTAAGTTTTAAGTTTTATAGCTTCTTGTTCTGTTTTCTATGATTATTTTATCTCAATTTTAAATGTATGTTACTGGAAAGCGCTTTGAAACGTGCTCTATAAATAAAGTTTATTATTATAATTATGACTTCTATGTAGAATTCTGCTGCAAAAAAGGCAAAAGAAGCTCATTTATTCTGCAGCAGCAACAACACAACGTGTTCATTGTCTATATGTAGTTTATTTTCACTAAACTTTTCATATTTTTGCACAAGTCCTCGTGTGTCCAGGACGTAGACGTGCAGATTTATCATAAACACGTTGTTTAGAGTGAAATTTGAAATATACTTTAAACAAGTTTCCTGGCTGTCACTGAACCAGGACGCTCTGAGCCGTGGCTCACTTTCTAGTTTAACTGTCCGTTATTTACACGCTTATTAGAGGAACTTTGTTTGTCCTGCCAGCTCACATTCACATGTTTGTGGTACAAAACTAGTCCTCAGGTCCCGTTTGTTTTAAAGAAAAAGCCGAATAAATAATAAGTACAACAGAACGAGAGCAAAGTATCAGTAAAAACACAGAAATAGAAGTGTAGTGAGAAATAAAACGGTCAGACTTTCCTGCTGTGACTGTGCTGATGCTGTTTCTCTGTTTATCAGGTTGATGTGATTCATCAACAAACCCTCAGAAAGCTCCACATTTCTCTTTTCTTTGTACTAACTTGTCCGTCATAACATTGTGTTTTAACTGAATTACCTAAATTAATAGTTAATGCAGAGAAAGAAATTCAGACCAGGTCGTGTTGTCTGAGCAGCACTTTACCTTTAAAAGTGATTAATTAATGATAAATGGTGTCATTATGTCCACTAATAAACACTCATTTCTCTGGTCCTGGTGGAGCAGCTGCTGCTTTCTGATTCACATTAAAACACTGTTCGTCATTAAATCACAATAAAACAGCTGCAGACTGAAGAACCAGAGGCACTGAGAGCAGGTTCTTACCTCCCCAGCTCCTCACCGATCTCATAGAAGTCCTCCACCTTCTGCTGCTTGAATAAATCCATTTCTGCAGTTTTCACTCTCAGAATAAATCTTCAGTTTTCATTTCTGTCAACCTGAAATCAGACAGCACAGGTTTTTATCAACCTGTAGCACAGCAGAAAGCTGAATAACCCTCATGATCGGTGTTGGTAGTGAAGGTGAATGAGGGTTTTTAATAGACTGTGAGCCTGCTGTAAATGTCACTGCATCAACAGCTGATCTCTGCTCTAAACACTGAGCAAAGTCACGAACTAAAGGTTTTATCAAAGTGTAATCCAGAATTAAACAGCATGCAGTGAGTATAAATGTCTTACCGTTTTAAAATACTCCATGTCCTCCAGCTCCGTGCCTGTCTGCTGACTTGTGTCCTCCAGACCACGAGGAATCTGCAGTGAACCGACACATGTCGCGCCTCAGCCACATACAGAACTCCATTAAGAAAACCACCAATTTAAGAATACGCTGCTCATAGACACAATGACTATGTAGATCTGAAAATTCAAAATAAATCCTATTAAACATTATTATTCATGTATTTATTTGAAGCCGAATTAAAAATAGTACGATAAGGACTAGGACAATGTCCCAAATGTATCGAATCAAGTCGTGTTTTTGCAGATATCTTTGTAAACATTTATTTTACCGTTTTTATAAACGAGGTCTGGCAGCAGAGTGTGCGCGCTCTCGTCTCTGCGCTCGACCACCTGTTAGGCGCGCGCCTGAAACTATGACACCTGTTGCCTCGCGCGCAGCAGCTGCAGTGTGAATGGAAAATGTCGTTTTAAAAATATATGTTGCCATTAAAACGTCTATTTTCTGTCATTCTGTGACAATAAATCAACGTCTCACAGCTGATATGTAGATTTATATTTATATTTGTGCTGATTCAGCTTCTGACTACAGGCTGTACGTGTTGCTTTTTCTGTTTTTATATTAAGCGTAAATAGATAAAAGCAAAAGCACTTTCTATATTTAAATATTGCACAATTTAGCACTTTTTTTCCATTTTAAATCAGATGTAAAATCAGTTTATTGGTCCTGTATGTGAACACAGAGAAGTAATCTGACTCTGACGTTTAATCAGCTCTTAAAATACTATTTAAAAAAAGAAAGAAACATACATAACAGCATCATATATAGTACAATATATCCAGTATATACAGTATGTATAGTATATAAAGATATGCAGTATATACATGTACATGTACAGTATATTCTATATATATGCTGTCTGACCATTTGTAAACTAAAATGTGTCACACAGAGTAAATGAAACCACAATAAATAAAACTGGTTAAAAAATGTTTTTGGTATTTTTAGTGATTTTATGGTTGTGGTGCTGCCTCATGTCCTCTGTAGGGGGCGCCACCGCCCCTTGATGAAGGAAGACCCTCTTTTATTAAATACATCAGGTCTTTTTTCTGTTTTTTGACTTTTACCACCTTTGATTTGTTACTTGCTCCTCAGATGTGTGTGAAGATGTAAAACAAAACACACAGAACAGTCCAACCACAGAGCAAACAGGCAACAAGGGAAACGTGTGAAGGTTCAATCTGGGACGAGGAACTCAGATAGTAAAATGCCAGCGTGGCCTCAGTGGGAGGCCGAGCAGATAGACGGAAACAATAACAGCATTCAGACACACGCCAACAGAAATAGTCAAATGAGGCGCCTCTTCTTCCTCTGACGGCTCACCTGAGCGGCAGCCGCTCACCTGCACGGCTCCGAGGATGGAGAGGAGTCCGGGTTCTGGAGGCCTGAAGGACCTGGTTCTGAGGTGGTTCACCGAGACTCAGGCCCCCAGCATCCTGCACCACGGGAGCTTCCCCAACTGGTTCCAAGGCCTGGCTGCCAGGAAGTAAGACCGACAGGAGTTTAAACCTTCTGCTGCAGAAACTTTGCTCTGAGCTCGTCGGTTTCAGTTCTGCTCTTTTATTGGCGGTGATTTGAATACATGTCTGCAGCTGCTGCACTCACTTCATGGTTTCAGTGTTTCTGGAGACGTGCAGCGGTGGGAGATCATTTCTGCTTCTGCACTGTGAAGAAACCAACACAAAGCAGTGGCAGCAGTTGTGTGTTTAAGTGTATAACACACAAATATGACTTAAAAACTGTCGACAAACGGGTCGGAACAGCTCAGCTTTATGAGTCACCAGCTACAGATCATTAACAAGAACCAACACTGCAGCAGCTTGTGTCTCTTCATCGTCAGTTTGTGTGTCTCTGTTGTCTTTGTTTAGGTCATTTCGTGCCTCTCTTCACATCACTTGTGTGTCTTTGTGGTCATTTTTGTGTTGCTGCGTGCTCATGTTGTGGCTCTTTATCACCATCGTGTGTTTCATGTTTTGGTCATTTTGTCTTGTTTTGTGTCTTCTTGGTCATTTCATGAGTCTCTGTCCTCATTTAATGTCTCTTCACGACCATTTGTTCCCTTTTGTCGTCGTTTTGTGTGTCTTTATGATCATTTGGTGTCTCTTTTAGCATTTTGTCTCTTTTTGGTCATTTTGTGTTTTACTTTGTGTTTTTTGTTTCACTAGTTTGGTTGTTTTGTGTCTATATTTGGCCTTTTTGTGTCTCTGTGTCTATCTTGTGTGCCTTGCTGGTCATTTATTGTCTCTTTAGTGTCTTTCTGTGGTCATTTTGTGTTCATTTTTTGGTAGTTTTGCATTATTTTTGTGCCATTTTGTTTGATTTTTGGATCATTTGTGTGCCTTGCTGGTCATTTATTGTCTCTTGATGCTTGTTTAGTGTCTTTCTGAGGTCATTTGTGCTGCTTCATGGTAGTTCTCTGTCTGTTTGTCATCATTTCATGCCTTTCAGATCATTTTCTGTGTTTTTGTGGCCGTTTTATCTTCACAGCTGTGTTGCTCAGAGGTTTCCTGTCGTTTTTACATCTGATTTGTGTAACTGGCTGTGTTTGGGCTGCAGGGATGCAGAGGATCTGCTGAGAGATAAAGCTGTGGGCTGCTTTCTGATTCGCCTCAGCGATAAAGCCGTGGGCTACATTCTGTCCTACAGGTGAGGAACAACCACGTCGGCTTAAATGAAGCCGGTTCTGTGTTCTGATCGTCTTCTGCCTCCTCAGAGGACACGACAGGTGTCGACACTTCGTCATCACCCAGAACCAGGACGGACAGTTTGTGATCTCAGGAGACAGCCAGACGTTCAGCAGCCTGCTGGAGCTCATCGAGCACTACAAGGTCAGCCCCATCCAGCCCTTTGGAGAGTACCTCACCTGCAGCTGCTACCAGGTGAGACAGCTCAGGTGTCCACTGTGAAGACACACCTTTAGTTCTCCAACAACTCTCATCAGATTTTCAGGACAAACAGAGTTTCAAAGTGGCTTGTTTTGTATTCCTGCATCAGTTTATATGTTTTCCATGTTCCTGAACAGAGAACGTTGATCCTTCAGTCTTTAGTTTCCACTGACTGACTCCTGGAACTCTG